ATGGAAGTTGCACAAGACGGTAACAATAATGTCTTTCCCGTAGCCTTTGCTCATGTTGAGGGTGAGACTACTTCTGCTTGGATTTTCTTCCTTAAGAATCTCAGAACACATGTCGCTCCACAAGCCAACCTCTGTTTGATTTCAGACAGGCATGCTTCTATAGAGAGTGTGTACAATAACCATGATAACGGGTGGTATAATCCTCCTTCTACCCATGTGTATTACATTAGATATATTGCACAAAACTTCATGCGTGCAATCAAAGACAAGAACCTTCACAAAAAAGTTGTGAATGTTGGGTATGCTCTAACTCAACCAACATTTCAATACTACCTTAACGAAATTAGGATGTCAAATGCAGATGCAGGAAGCTGGTTAGACAACATTCCACTTGAAAAGTGGACAAGGGCTTTTGATGGTGGGTGTCGTTGGGGCCACATGACGACAAACCTTGTGGAATCCATGAACGGGGTATTCAAAGGAATTAGAAACCTTCCAATCACCGCTTTGGTGAGATCAATATATTATAGGTTGGCATCACTTTTTGCAACAAGAGGCGAGAGATGGAGTGCAGTGTTAACATCCGGTCAGGTATTCAGTGAAAGCATTATGAAATTGATGAAAGAGGATACTATTAAAGCCATCACACATGTAGTTACAGTCTTCGATCGTCATAGGCAAACATTCAGTGTACAAGAAATAATGGACCATAATGAGGGGAGGCCCAATTTATCCTATGTCGTCATACTAAACAGATGTTGGTGTGACTGTGGCAAGTACCACGCCTTTCGTGTACCTTTCTCACGTGTCATTGTGGCATGCGCACATGCTCGTCAGGATACTTATGGCTATCTATTTGATGTTTACAAGGCGATTAATGTTATGAACGTATACAACGAAGGCTTTGCAGTGCTACCAATGGAGGATTATTGGCCTCCATACCAAGGTGACATGGCACAACGATGACATGAGAAGAAAGAAAAAGGGACGCCCAAATAGTAAGCGTATAAGAACCGAAATGGATACGGCTGATAAAATGATAAGATTGTGCAGTATATGTCGTCAGTCCAGACACAACCGGAAAAAAATGTCCCAATGTCGGAGGCACATCTGCATCATGATTTAGCTTATCGTTTCATTTGTTGTAACCAAATATTTTCATATATTGATGAGTCTTTGTTACAACGATCTTAACAACAAACAAGACTAACAACACACAACACATACTAATTTCATAAAACATAAAACATTAACTAGGTGATTACGACATTCCTAACTGATTACAACAATCAAACTAATTTCATTCGGTCCAAACATGACTTCCCTCGCATCTTTGTCTGTCTTAACACATACTCATCCACGCAGCCGATCAAGTCTCTCGATACTACAGATCTTATTAATGGAAAACCCTTTTCTTAAATACTAAATCATACAAATCGAAAAATTTAGATTCTATATTCGAATCTAGTCTATAGTTATAAGTATTCGAATAAATAGAATTGGTTATTGCTTAATATTTGAAAAAAGGGTATTCTATATTAATCGAGTTATAGAATACAATAGAATAACTAGTTAGAAAATAGTAAAGAATCCTTTTTGACAGGAAATGGATATATCCATATATTTCGGACTTATCTTTTTTTTTAAATAAAAAAAAATGGCGAAATCTATACCAAAACTTGGTTCACGGAAAACTGGACGTATTGGTTCGCGTATGCATCCGCATAAAATACCAAAGGGGGTTATTTATATTCAAGCTAGTTTCAATAATACCATTGTGACTGTTACAGATGTAGGAGGTCGGGTGATTTCTTGGTCCTCCGCCGGTTCATGTGGATTCAAGGATATACGAAGGGGGACACCATTTGCCGCTACAACCGCAACGGAAAATGCTCTTCGAACAGTAGTCGATCAAGGCATGCAACGAGCAGACGTCAGCATAAAGGGTCCCGGTCGAGGAAGAGATGCGGCATTAAGAGTTATTTTTCGAAGTGGGATACTATTTAACGTTATACGGGATGTAACCCCTATACCATATAATGGATGTAGGGCTCCTAAAAAAAGACGTGTGTAAAACTAACAATAAATATGAAAGAAAAAGATTTCAAGAGAAATAAACAATTAAACTAAGAGTTTCATAAAAATAGATTACTATGATTCGAGAAAAACTAAAAGTATCTACTAAGACACTACAGTGGAAGTGTGTTGAATCAAGGGTAGACAGTAAGCGTCTTTATTATGTACGCTTTATTCTGTCTCCACTTCTGAAAGGTCAAGCAGATACAATAGGCATTGCAATGCGAAGAATTTTGCTCGGAGAAATAGACAGAACATGTATCACACGTGCAAAATCTGAGAAAATACCACATGAATATTCTACCGTAGTAGGTATTCAAGAATCAATACATGAAATTTTAATGAATTTGAAAGAAATTGTATTGAGAAGTAATCTGTATGGAACTCGGGAGGCGTTTATTTCTTTCAAAGGTCCTGGATATGTAACTGCTCAAGACATCATTTTACCACCTTCGGTGGAAGTCGTTGATAAGACACAACATATAGCTAACCTAACGGAACCTATTAATTTGTGTATTGAATTACAAATTGAGAGAAAGCGGAGATATCGTATAAAAACACTAAACAACATTCAAGATGGAAGTTATACTATAGATGTTGTATTCATGCCTGTTAAAAATGCAAATTATAGTATTCATTCTTATGTGAATGAAAATGAAAAACAAGACATACTATTTCTCGAAATATGGACAAATGGAAGTTTCACTCCTAAGGAAGCACTTTATGAAGCCTCCCGGAATTTGATTGATTTATTTATTCCTTTTTTACATGCAGAAGAAGAAAACTTCAATTTGAAAAACAATCAACACAAAATGACTTGGCCCCTTTTTACTTTTCATGATCATGATAGATTCGTTAAGGATAAACTAACGAACACTCAAAAAGAAATTACATTGAAATCCATTTTTATTGACCAATTAGAATTGCCTCCCCGGATCTATAATTGTCTTAAAAAGTCCAATATACATACAGTACTTTTTCCCTTCACCAATATCTCCTTCCAACCACCGATTCAGCTCCCTCTTAAGTTGATTGAAACTTTGTATGTTCTAAAACAACATGTCCATCACCGGCGACGATACATGTTATTAGCAGAACAAAAATATCAGATAAAATGTGGAAGTAAATGATCAGAACACCTCTATTTATAGAAAAAAAAATTTCAAAATACAAGAGGTCTCCAGATGAATTGGCGACTCCCTTGTAAGTTCAACACCAAATCACCAATTGGATTGGAGACTACATGAAGAGTCTCCAATTCAATTGGCGACTCCCTTGTAATCTTAACAAGGTCCCGTCAATCCATTTGACACTCTTGTATAATTTCATTTCCTAACTGGGATATTTTAAGAATAATTTTAAAAGATGGGTTATTTGGAGTTTTTTTTTTGAAAAGTTAAATTATTTGACTAAGAAATTCGTATAATTCCCACTTGTAAGAACATAATCGTTAATAGGCTACGACTACTTAACAAATATGTAAGAAACAACTTCCTAAATAGAAAAAGATAAGTATCAAAGCCATATTCATCCCAGAACTATAGAGCGTTTTTTTCTTGTTCCTTTCCATTTGAAAACTGACTTCTTTTTTAGTGAAATATAAGGAGGACATAAGTGTAATTTGATTCTAATTGTCTCTTAATATTTAGTGTCAGATACTATGTAGAATATTCTTTTCTGTGGGCAGGTTTAAATAGTCATCTTAATTATGAGTAAGTGTAAGAAAAAGGCTTCATTCACTATACAAACAACACTGAAGCCTTAGCCATGGTTCCAAAGCTTGGTGCTGATGTTGAGGATGGTGGAACTGGTCTTGGAACTGAACCTATTTGAACAACACCTACCTCTTCCTTCTTCAAAGGTCAGTGTCGGGTCTGGTGTTTGTATCAGTGTTTCGTAGATTATAATTTAGTCAGCTTAATCTATATCTGCAACATAATTCTTTTGTTATTTCTGTTTAATTTTGCATTTTGAAAGAAGTTGATGAAAGACAGTAGTTTCTTTTGTTGTAGGTTCAATAGAAATGGTGTGGTTATTGAAGGGCTTTTGCCAATGGAGAATATGATTCTAATTTACCTTTTTGCTGAGAATCAAGAAGCAGAAAATATTTCTGTTGAATGGTTAAAAATTCCTGATTAAGACTTTGCAATTTTCATGGTTCTTGGTACCAGATAAACCTGATAGAGTTTTAAGCTTTGTAGTGTGGAAAATTTTCCTTTGGCAGTGTAACTTTCAATCTTGGAAAAGGAAAGTTTCATTCCTTTATGCTATTCATGTATGTTTGAAGATTCCTATGTGTATTGGACAAATCTCCTTTGGCAAAAGTTACTGAACTTCCTATATATGGTTGGATTCAGGTAGTCGTAAAGTATATGAAAAAATATTTTTATTCAGAAGTAACTCTTGGAGCTCCACCTGTTCTGGAGGCAAATCTCCTTTGGCATCTTTTAACTATCTTCTTCTGCTTCATCTAGCACTAGAAATCTTTCTTCCATCAAATTCAAACTACCCAGCAAAACCTTAAAAAAAAAAATAAAGACAGAAAAATCAACTGATAGTTGTAGCTAATAGCTAGTTGAAAGAGCTTCTTAATTGGGCATATCTCCTTTGGCACTCTGGAGTCCTTGATTGATTCCTATTGTCCTGGCAGGCGGGCAAATCTTCTTTGGCATCAGATCTCCTGTTTTGCGAGATACTGATTATTATCTGTGACAGAAATATTTATCAAGCAGAAGTATATACTGTGTCCTTTCTTCTCAAGATACTACTGAGTGCAGATTAATTCTGATTCCATCTATTTCAAAATCTGGTGAGAATTCCTTCCATGGACTAACTTGTTTCTTCTTTATTGTTGTGTTGTCATGCTGTTTTATCGTGATTTATTTGATGTTAATATGAAAAATATTGTGACAGGTGTATAATTGATGGATGCTATGACTAGTGATTCCGAATGGGAGACTTCGAGTGACAGCAGCAGCAGCAGTGAGGATCAAGAAGAAAATGATTTTCAATATGGTGGTCAAGCTCAGAGCATATTATCAAATTTAGAGGAAAGCATTGGGAAGATTGATGATTTTCTTTCATTTGAGAGAACTTTTGGTCATGGTGATGTGGTCTGCTCCTTGTCATATCAGACAGGACAAATGGGAAGGGTCACAAATGTTGAACTGTTTGCGGATTTGGAAAATGTGAAAGGAAAGGTATTCAAAAACGTAAACTCCAAGAAACTTTCGAAGATTCGCTCTATTTCAGAAGGTGATTATGTAATTAAGGGGCCATGGCTCGGTCGGGTTCAAAGGGTAGTGGACAAAGTGACTGTATTATATGACGACGGAGCTAAATCTGATATCATTGCCTTTGAAAGAGAGAAGCTCTTACCACTGACTTGTAACTTTTCGGAAGATTTGCAGTGTCCATACTATCCAGGACAGAGAGTAAAGGTTAAGTCCTCTGATGCTTCTAAATCAGCAGGATGGCTTTGTGGAACTTGGAGAGATAACCAAGATGAAGGAACTGTTTGCGCTGTGGATGCAGGTTTAGTGCATGTTAACTGGATCGCTTCTGTTCTTTCGAGTAGTAATTTGAATGTGAATGCTCCACCGTGCTGGCAAGACTCCAAAAACTTGATCGTGTTGTCGTGTTTTTCAGACACAAACTGGCAACTTGGTGATTGGTGCATGCTCTCGGTTGCAGCTAAAGAGGAACAGATTAGTATGGAGCATAGTATGACAAGAGAGTGTAATAAGAGTGAGGGGAAAAAACTTGACTCAAGTATTGGGGAATTGTTTATAATTGGGAAGATAAAGACCAAAGTTGATATTTTGTGGCAAAATGGTGAGCATAGCCTGGGATTAGATCCAGAGAATTTACTCCCGGTGAATGTTATAAATACACATGAATTTTGGCCTCATCAGTTTGTGCTGGAAAAAGGTACTTATGATCCTCTTCAGCCTAATAATCAAAGATGGGGTGTTGTCCAATATGTGGATGCAAAGGAGCATATTGTAAAGGTAAAATGGAAAAATGTTTCCATATTCAAACCAAATGATTTGGAGAGAGACAAAATGGAGGAAACTGTGAGTGCCTACGAACTTGTAGAGCACCCGGACTACTCATGTTTTTTTGGTGATATTATGTTCAAGCCGGCTCAAAAACAGTTTAAAGAAAATTCAGTAGATGACATGAATATGGAGGCTTCTCTCAGAAACAGGAACCAAATGAGTTATCATGATGACTTCCCTGATGACTGTTACTTGTCCTGTGTTGGCACTGTTACTGGTTTCAAAGATGGTAATGTGGAAGTGAAATTGGCTACTGGTTTCACAACCAAGGTAAATGTCATACCTTTCTGTAACTTTATGTAAATATGGTACAGTTTATGTAAATGCATGTCTGACTTATAGTAAATAGCAACATAATATTAGAACCACGGAACTTGGATTGCATATTGTACATATTCGTATTGGATGATCCTACTGAGTTTGAATTGCACCAATATTGTGTCTGATTTTTTAGCTTTCATTGTTTGATAAGAAGTATTATGAATGATTTTTGTTTATTCCTAACAGCTTGCACCGTATGAAATTTTTCGGATTGATAAACACGAAGGCTCAACTGTAACCCCTGCTCCTCAAGAGATGATCGAACGCGGAAGTCTAACTTCTGATAAGAAAGGAAAGGTGAGAGCAATGTCTTTTCTGTTTCTTATGTATCTTTGTGTACAACAATATGTATCATGTGTATTGTATAGTATCTATCTGGTATATGTCAGACACAGAAGTCTCAGATAGGAAAGTATATAAACTGAATGTCATGTTTAATGTTCAGGACTTGATAAATTGTGATGGTAAAAAAGAGAATTGTGAAAAGAACCTTGAGGAGTGTAGTCCCTTTTTCCTTCCTCAAGCTGCCTTTGAAATTTTCTCCAGCATTAAATCCAGCATATTTCAAACATTAGGTGGAACTTCAGTTACAGGAGCATTTTCATCAGTGCCTACATTTGAAAAGGATCATGAATCGGATTTTCCTGAAAAGAAAGATTCAGAAACTTGTAACCTCTGCATTGAACCACATCCGGCGACTGAGTTGCAATCTACTGAAGACACAACTTCATATCCAGAAGTTATTAGGATCCATGACAAGAATGAGTTTCCATTTTCTTTAGACAGCAATAGTTCAAACCAGTTTAAGCAGTTTGATGTTATAGAAAGCTGCTCTGAGGACCACCATTTTTTTGATGAGGGGAAAGGATTACCAATGTTGCAGGTTAGAAATCAATCCTTTACTGTGAAATATTATTGCATTGATATATTAGGCTAACTGTTTTCTTTGCTTTGTAGGTAAAAAGAAGCTGGGTAAAAAAGGTTCAGCAAGAATGGAGCATCCTTGAGAAAAGTCTTCCTGGTACATACTTTTTATCTTTTTTTTTTTTGAATCACACTGTTATATAACTTATTTCTCTATGAGAAGCCTTATTGTTATATGATGGTTGAACTCAAATTAGTAAACTAAACTTGGGTCACCGGAGCCACCGGTCTCTGCCACTACATAGTATATGGACCCGTTTTGAGTGGCAAAATATATACGGCAAGATGACATGGTATATATTTTTATCCTTAGGCAATGCAGAAGGTCAAGTAATAAGATGAAATTATTAACCAAAATTTGATTTTAGAGATATCAGGATTTGGGAGTGTACAATATGAACAAAATTGGTTGTTGTAAATAGAAAAGAAAAATTGATTTACTTGACTAATTGATTTACTTAAGAAAATGTAATTTGTTAAAGCTGCAAGTATTCATAATGACGACTTCTGTAAATGTACTTACAATCTTTATTGACCCACACAGACTCTATTTATGTTCGTGCATATGAGGAAAGAATGGATCTCATGCGAGCAGCTATTGTTGGTGCATCTGGAACTCCGTATCAAGACGGATTGTTTTTCTTTGATATATGTTTCCCTCCAGAGTATCCCAACGAACCACCTGTAAGATTTCAAATGTAGTTTGCAGTGCTTGTATTTGTTTTTCCAGCACCATTGTTTATAAGGCCCTTAACTGAACTGAGAAGTTCAGTGTAACCATGTTTTTTGTTGAAGAGACTTTTGTATATGTTCAAAGATCTCAAGAAAAAACTCTAAATTTGAACAAACTCATGTTGTCATTGTGGCCTTTGAATGCAGATGGTGCACTACAATTCTGGCGGGCTCCGCTTAAATCCTAATTTGTACGAGTCAGGGAAAATCTGTCTAAGTCTTTTAAATACTTGGACAGGCGCAGGCAGTGAAGTGTGGAATCCTGGAACCTCTACTATTCTTCAAGTTCTTATCTCTCTGCAGGCTCTTGTCCTTAATGAGAAGCCTTATTTTAATGAGGCTGGGTATGACCAACAAATAGGCAGAGCTGAGGGAGAGAAAAACTCTGTGAGCTATAATGAGAATGCTTTCCTTGTCACAACCAAATCTATGTTGTATCTATTAAGAAAGCCACCAAAGGTAAAATTACTATATCTGTATTCGGTTACTCTCATGAAAATAAGATTCAGTTTTAATGCGATTGTATGAATGAAACCGTAACTGATAATGACGCCTAATGCAGCATTTTGAAGCACTGGTGGAAGGGCACTTCAGACAGTGTTCCAAACATATACTTTCTACTTGTAAGGCATGTCTTGAAGGAGCTTCCATTGGATGTGGAAAAACTGAACAAGAAAACCAGAAGGGGACTTCTACAGGATTTAAAATAATGCTTGCTAAGCTCTTCCCCAGGCTTGTAGAGGCATTTAAGGATATTGAATCCAGTCAGTTTTCTTGAGCTGCAGGAAAAACTTACCTACTGAGTTGAAAGTAACTTTCAAATTTCCCGACCAATACATTCCAAACTTATGTGTAATATCGATATGTTTACACTATCTGTATCATATCAGTTTTAAGCTTATTCGAACACTCATATCCGGGTTTCGGACTTTTGTGATTAGGTACTGTGGTGTGGTTATGTATCAAGTATCAACACAACAAACCATGTGTTAAATATATGTATCATATCAAAGCTTGTTCATGTAACATACGAAATAAGAGATACATTGATTGGAATAATTTGTTTGATGTCTCTTTTCATCTGTTGATGATGCTGTATCTGTTTTATGGCATATTAAAGTTGTCTTAAAGAGCTTAATTAAGCTTCTATTTATGTGTATGCATATCAAATAAATCCAAGCAGGAGTCTTTTCATTTTAACTTTCTTTTGTTCGTTGCCCTCCTCTGTTGGTTTCTCCTTGGAAGTTAATTCATTCCTGTAGCTTGTCAAATTCACAACTATGGTTTCAGACCTTGCAATCAGCTCTATTCATATATGACATGCATCGATAGAAGAATGCATATTATATATGATTTGATAGGTCGTTGTCTCTTCAGAGATTGTTCTCAAAATGATCATTGATTAATCAGATCCGTTAAAGTTTAAAATCCCATCACCAATAATCTAAACAAGAACAAGAGCCTTCTGTCGAAGTTTACAATCCCATCACCAATAATCTAAACAAGAACAAGAGCCTTCTTTGAAATGATGGAATCGAAGCTTATCCCGAATAATTATCTCTCTATTTGTCACAACAGAGATGAACTTAATTGCTGAATGACAGTCTTCACATATCCTAAGGTTCTTGACAATCCTGAGAGTAGTTCCATGGCTAGTTTTCATCAGCCCGAATGCTACTGCAAGTTTCTCACTATGGTGTCTGAGGGCATACTCCCTCTCTTCTTCTTCCAACTCATGCATTGCTGATTCAGGAAGAGGTGCATAACCTGCTTCCTTGCACCTCCACATCAACTTATCCAAATACTGGTAAATCTCTTCGGTCTCAGGATGGGACTTATCACCCATACTAAAAAGATATGATATGTTGTTGACATCAATAGAGCTATAACCCACTTGCTTTTTAATACCTCTTTGGATCATTACATTTCTAACAGATTCCACTCTATCCATTCTTCCAGCAAATGCATACATATTAGAAAGCAATACATAATGGCTGGGATTCTCTGGCTCTAAGGAAATGAGATGCTGAGCAGCTTCCACACCAAGATCAAAATTCTTATGCATCTTGCAAGCACCAAGCATTGCAGTCCACACCGCTGGAACAAGCTCCCCGGGCCTAAGCTCTTTGATGAAATCATATGCTTCAGTTAGCAAACCAGCTTTCCCAAGCATATCAACCATGCAAACATGGTGTTCCACTCCAGGAATCACACCATGCTCTTCTTTCATGCTTGCGAAAATTTCTCTCCCTTCACGTATTAGCCCTGCATGAGCACATGCGGATAAAACAGCAACAAATGTAACAGTATTAGGAGCGAGCCTGCTTGCTTTTTTCATTTTATAGAATAGCTCTATTGCTTCAACTCCATAACCATGCATACCATACCCAGATATCATAGCTGTCCAAGCTATAACATTTCCTTCACTTGTAGAATCAAAAACATTACGCGCCCTGCTAACATCACCACACCGTGAAAACATGTTTATCAAAGAAGTACCAAGAATCACATTGACGTGAATCCCATTACTAATGATACTGTCATGCACCCAACATCCCAATTCAAGAGATCCAATTTGAGAACAAGCTGATGACACAGAAACGAAAGTCGCAGAATCGGGACGAACCCCCAATTCATTCATCTTATGAAACAGTGTCATTGCTTCATTTGCAAACCCGTTTTGCTCGTAACCGGAAATCATGGTGTTCCAAGCAACTACACTTTGTTGCGGCATTTTATCAAACACCTTCCGGGAGAAACTCAGTGCACTTGATTTAGCATAAAAGGACACTATTGCGGCTTGGACAAATGGATTCGAAGCATACCCAGAAACGAAAACGTGGGAATGGAGAAGGGTTCCTAGTTTAAGAGCAGAGAGATGAGCGCAAGCTTTGAAAACCGAGGTAAAGGTGTAGGAGGAAGGTTTGTGAGGGGAAAAGAGCATGTGACGGTAGAAAAGGATGGTGTCGAGTGAGAAACCGTGTTGGGAGGAGGCTTTAATGAGGGAGTTGAAGAGAAATGAATCGGGGTCGGTGACGGAGAGGAAGAGACGGCGGGTGTAAGCGATGGAACCGGCGGCGCAAGAGAGGGTGAGGAGTTTGGTGAGGAGAGCTCGGCTACGGTGGCAACCTGTGACAATGAGATGAGCGTGAGCTTGTTTGAGGGGTCGCACGTGTGGGCCTGCGCGTATCACTGCTTGGTATTCTGCAGACTTTGATCCTTCTCTTTTTGTTTCTTCCCGCCGCTCTCTGTATTCTTCCATCGAAGAAGAAAAACACTAGTTCAACTCAAAATGATTCCGGACGAAAAAAACTATTGAGTTGATTCCTAACATAATAAGATACTCACTTTAATATAACTTATAAATGCAAAATTCTCAATACACCTTTCTCTCATCTCAAATTGTTCAATGTTACTCTACATATAGTTCCAATTCATTTTAATTAAAAAGTTCAATTTAGTAACTGTCTTTTACTTTTTAATTTTATAACTTTTAATTTTTTTTTCAAAAGCTATTTACAATAATTTTTAAGTTTGTAACTTTTAATTTATGATTTTTTATTTCAATTATATATATATATATATATATATATATATATATATATATATATATATATATATATATATATATATATATATATATATATATATATATATATATATATATATATATATATATATATATATATATATATATATATATATATATATATATATATATATATATATATATATATATATATATATATATATATATATTTACTATTAAAAAATTGATTTTAAAAAATTGAATTTATAGAGATTTTAAAGAATAGTATAGCAAATTTTTTCTTATTTATCTCTAGTTTATTATAATAAATATTATTTTTATTTATTAAATATAAATTATATAATCAAATTAGAAATAGTGTTGAGAATTCTCAAATTAATGAAATATTGGAAAAGAATCAATGAAATCAACAAAGGTGAAGAAAATTCAGAGTTTTATTGTAAAATATTAAACAATAAACTTATTTTTAATATAACTAAATTCAAAATTACAATATTATTATTTCACGTATTTTATTAAATTTTATTATAAAATTAGAAGAAAAAAAGCTATATTTTACGAAATAATGAGTTAACTAGACCAAGAATTGTAGTTATTAAGATTACATAAACGACTTTATGAAACACCTTTGCTTCATGTATGGTTTGCTGGTTCTTTTATTCATTGAATTTATTTCTCAATATATTCATAATAAACAGTAAAGCTCATAAAACTTATACATAAATTTATATATTTTGATGATATCTTCAATTTTTATATATATTAAAATTGTTTTGCATGTTGTTATTAATACATTTGCTTTTATCAAATAAAAATTAATTTAATAATATAATATAATAAGATAATGAAATCACCAATTTCTTAATTAAAAATGTCTTTTTAGGTCATCTTGTAATTATCAGCTAGTGTAACAGCTAATTACCAAACACTCAAATTAACTTATTAGCTACCAGTCATCAGCTATAAGTATAAGCTATCAGCTATAAGCTAATTTTACCAAACAAAGTTGTACATTGCCTTCTCCTTCCGCGTTCTATCCTGTTTCAAATTTTACGTATTCAAAAACCTCTAAAAATTTAAGAAATCTAAAATAGCGGATCAAAAAATTGAGTTTAGAAATAGAGACTAAAAATGTCTTCGTTAAGGTTTATATATATATATATATATATATATATATATATATATATATATATATATATATATATATATATATATATATATATATATATATATATATATATATATATATATATATATATATATATATATATATATATATATATATATATATATATATATATATATATATATATATATATATATATATATATATATATATATATATATATATATATATATACTTGTTAACTTTAACATTTTTTTAACATAATTATACTTTTTCTTAATTGAGTTATAATATATATACTTCTTTTTTAAAGTTAATATATATATCTCATTTACTAATTATAACATATATATTTATATTCGTTTAGTTACGACATAATCATTTTTATAAATTACGGAATATACTTTGAGTTATATATATATATATATATATATATATATATATATATATATATATATATATATATATATATATATATATATATATATATATATTTGTAGTGTGTTAATATTATTTTCACATTTCATTTTATTTTTAACTTTATAACGATTATATTTTATTTTTATGTCAATTTCGTAGCAATATACCTTCTTTGTGGATAGCATGTGCATATTCTGTTTAGCTTTCTATTTTTCAAATTAATTTGAGTTGATGTAAAATTTGTGACACTACCGTAATAATAATAGTGTCTTTGAGTGTTGTTTGGTTTATTATTGCATTTCGGTTTCGGAGTTAAAATCTAATTTAACTTTTGAGAACTGCTTGAGTGCATATATTTATTTGCTCGGCTTCTCATAGAGTGATTCGTACATGAATCCACTCTAAGTTAGCTTCAGAGCTAAATTCAGTTGCTCTTCAATTTCGATTGGTTTCGGTCCCGCATTTACTTGTTTGACTGCTTTGTATTTTAGTCATTTTCTTACTTCCGATTGACAAAATGTATCCCTCACCCTCGTGTGTAATTGTTATTTGTTTTTTTCCGCCTTTATTTCTTTAGATAGATAATTAATAAAAACAAATATATATATATATATATATATATATATATATATATATATATATATATATATATATATATATATATATATATATATATATATATATATATATATATATATATATATATATATATATATATATATATATAATCAATCTTTCAAAAAATCAAAGAATTTGGTCAACACCAAGTTCCATTTTCAAAAACATTGGTCGACATCAATTGATCAATCAATCAAGCATTCTTGATTCATATATCAAGTCATACCCTAACTTGTAAGTCGACTGTTTTTTAGCATCGCCATCAACCTCATGCATACACTTGCACCTTTTCTTTGGTTGTGGTTTTGTTTATTAGGAGCACCCTTAGGGACTAGGAATCAACCTAACTTTTTCTCAAACCTTTGATCCAACATCAAGTGCTTACTTCTCTCATAAGTTAGTTGCTTTTGCAATCGTCATCGTGCAAATTCAAACCTCGATCTTTTATCGAGTATTTCTTTTCTTAAAACTAAAATCTCTTTCTTTTATTGAGTATTTCTTTTCTTAAAAATAAAATCTCTTTCTTTTCTCAAAAATACAAAAATACTTTAATCATATTTTTAATCTGTTTCAGAAACCTTAATAAAAAACACTTACCTCTCTTTCAACCTAACCTTAGGTTTAGAGTTTCTTAACTCTATGTAGGTGTTCTGCCATATACACTTACCTCTCCTCCTTGGAACCTTGACCGTAGTCAAGAGTTCCTCACCCTTTATTGAGGAGAACTACGAATGCTCTGATTCCACTCTCGTCAGGATACGTAGGCACAAGACGCGACTTCTTAGCGAGCATACTTAGAAATAAACCCCTAGGTTCACCCTTAGAAAACAACAATAACACGAATAAAACAAGAGGTTCTTGTAGAGTACTACAGATACTTAGAATGCTAGTGTCTTCCCTTAGTGTAACCAACACACAAACCTTAGATTCTTTTTTGCTTTGCATTTCATTGCATATTTTGGGTTATTCGCTCTTTTTCCCTTCCCTTGGATAAATTAAAGACCGATGGTGAATAATGATTTGCAATTCAAGTTAATCAATAGCTTGATATCCAATTTTCATCGCGACAGAAATGACGTTTTCACTGGGGACTTGCTTTCGAGGGTTTCCTCTAACTTTCTTATTTGTGTTTTTGTTATATATCTATATATATTTGTTTATTTGTATGTATACGTTTCTGCTTTGAGTTGTTACTTTCGTGCAGTGAGATAAGTCCTACATCTGAACTTGAGTGTACTTATGATAGAAAGGTGATATATTTGAGAAGGCTTATAGGAAGTTGATTCTCGACCAAGCTGACTTGAGAATCATCGCTCAGTTGAGGCCCTCTTGAGAATAGTATTGTTGAACGAATATTTGTGAAAACACTTATTATTTTTGACCTAGGAGCCTGTGACATTGAGGACCTTTAGTTACCCTTAACCCATGTTGACTATCTTAGGACGTAGTGCAATGACTATGAGGGAGTAGTGATAAAATAGTTGATACGTGATATACACTCGAAAGAGGTTCTCTTGAGAATATTATTGACTACCGAGTATTTCAGAAATTGATAATATCCGAAAGACAGACTGATGACTTTGGGAACCTTTTAGAACCTTTGTTCTGCAGGTACAATAAACCCTTAGTCCACACCATTTGGGATGGATAGACCATTACTCCAGGCTCGTTGATTTTCAAACCTAAGCTTTTACCTGTTTTATTATGTATATGTGTATTTGCAGATCTGTGTTTGCCTGTGTTTGAGCATACATGCACTCATAAATATCATGTTCATAAAAGTTTCATGGAATTCAAAGCTTTTATTTACAAACATCATAGGTTTTACCATTGGATTATGAGATTATACCCTATTTTCAATCAAATGAGATTTTCAGTTATCAAAAGTATTGCCCACTTTGTGGTATTTGCAAACATAACCTTTGAGTTCCTTGAAACCCATCTGCATTGGTGCATTTGCATTCGTCATTAGCATTGCATTCTTTGCATCTCAGATTCTCACTCTTGCTTTTTCTCTTAAAGAGGAGACGAGCTAATTCATTAGTACGATACTCGAGCCAATCAAATAAAGAAGATGAAGAACATTGAGCAAGAAAACCATGATGTCCGTAAGGAAGTGACTACTTTGAGGGCTGGTAAGGAAGTGACTACATGGAGCAATTAATTGATATCAAAGACCAATAGATTGGTTCAAACTTATTGTTTCAGAAAATTAAATTTTCTTCAAGGGACCAATAGGTTGTTACCTTAAACAAATAGATTGTTTCAAACTCACTATTTTAGAAAAATAAATTTTCCATTTGACCAATCAATTGTTGTCTTGTACCAATCGATTGTCATGTCTAAAATTTCCAAATTCTTAACGTTGCAAAAATGGACAAATCTATAGTTCCTAAAACTTGCTTTTCTTCTGAAACATGGAGACACCAATTCATGATGAATCTTCGTGACAACTTTTCCAAAACTTTGCAAATCATTCTTCTGATGAATTTTCAAATATTGCCATGATGAATCAAAGGGTGGTTATGTCATATAAATAGAAATAAAA